ATCTCCCTTAGAATGAGAGTAGAGTAGCAAGTAGAGCTTGCTGTCATATGTAACCTATATGTGAAAGAAAGATTAGGGTTTTGGTTCCCCAATGTGCATTTTTAAATGACATTTTGTTTTCTTAAATTTGACAACAATATGCTAATGGATAAGTTTTTTTCCCCTTCTTGTCAAACTTCCATTTATTAAATAATATAAAATTCAATGTTTTCTTCCTCTGAAGTAAACCATAATACATTTTTTTTTCATATGTGCTCATTCAATTAATCTTGTACTGTTAGCTTTTAGGCACAAAACACTGAAGTGAATGTACTTCGTGCAATAGTTACGTGTATTTAATTCCAAGATGAGAAATACCCTGTTCTTGTATGGACACAACAAAAGCAACACAAAACCCCCTCACCTCTTCAGTGATATACATTTTTTGTTTCAAGCTCTCTCTCTCTCTCTCTCTCTTTTTTAGCATGGTTTTTTCCTACAAAGTAAATATCTTGGGCTTGGCCTTTGTATAGGGCCATTCCTTCTGTACTTTGCTCCAAAGATCTGAGCTGAATCATTTCCATGTGACTTAACCCTTGCCCAAGTGATACCTGAAACTGAATCCTGTCTCAGTCTCAGGGCAGTAGTGAATTAGTGCATGGTTTTATGATGGAGTGATCAAAGGGCAAAGATTTATGAATTTGTTTAAACTACCCTTCAGATACCTCTTGAGTTGCAAAGTGCATCCTGAATGCTTGTCCCTTGTCAACTGTATCCTATTAATAATAATAATAATAATAATTTAATTTGTACCCCGCCCTTCTCCTCATGGGACTCAGGGCGGCTAACAGCCTCATAAAAACCACAATACAAATACAATGACATCTATATTAAAAGCCGAATTAAAAAGAAATATTTAAGAAGGCCGATTATTAAAATTATCCTTAAAATACCCTTAAAAAACCCCGCTAAAAAATCCNGCGCTTTAAAGATGAGAACCAGCACCTTGAAGCGCACCCGGAAGGCCACCGGCAGCCAGTGCAGCTCGCGCAGCAGCGGCGTTACATGGGAGCGACGAGTCCCTCCCAACACCGCCCGCGCGGCCGCATTCTGGACCAGTTGAAGCCTCCGGGTGCTCCTCAAGGGGAGCCCCATGTAGAGAGCATTACAGTAGTCCAGTGCTTTTTTTCTAAAAAAAAAAAAAAAAAAAGGTGCCGGAACTTACACACACGTCATACAACCCGTCTTGCCTACCCTACAAGGTTCCATCCAAAAAAGGCGTTCTATGAGAAAAAAAGCCCTGCCTATTAGTAACATGTACAACATTTTCCTGTGGCGAGAGAAACTTGTTTTTTTTTTTTTTATCCTTTTGCTTCAGGATAAGTCAGAGGGGATTATAGAATTAGAATCATGGAATGTAAAGATTGGAAGGAATCTTGGGGATCACAAAATCCAACCCACTGCCAAGTGCACACTTACACATAACACCACACTTAGAGCATCCCCAAGGATGGCTTACTAGTTTCTGCTGAAAATGAGAGTCCATCAACTCCCATAGTAATCTGCCACACTGTTGAACAGCTGTTGCCACTAGGAAGTGCTTCTCTGTGTTTCTGAGATTTCTGTTTGACCTTGCTACCCAACAGATGAGCTATTATTGCTGTCCTCAAGATTATAATTTAATCATGTGCCTCCCAGATTTCCATGGGGGAAACCCCCCCTTCCAATGTTTCAAGTAGCTTATCAGAATCGTGCTTGTTAAAAGAAAACAATCTCCTTTTCAAATCTCTCTCATAGGCCTAGCTCCCAATAAATAAGCTTAGGAGAAAGATTACGTTAAGGAACCAGAAAGAAATATATAAAGGATCACTTATGCAAAAGAATTATTTTTTTTGTTTTGTTACTATTGTGGCTTTTGATGAGTTGAGAGAGGGAAGAGAGCTCAAGCCAGTCAAATATATCAGCAGAAAGCAGGGGTTTGTTTTATTTTTCTAATCTAACCAATTGTTCGCAGACATATTTCCTTCTCTCCCATAAATCTGTGGGACCTAGGGAGGGTAGGAAAAGAAAAGCTAGAGTTTAATTCCTCACCCAGCTTTCTTCTCCCCCCCCCCAATCCCTTGCTTGGAGCATCGTTTTGGATAGAGTACAAAAATGTAAGAATTCTGGAGGTAGAAAGAGAGCAATGGCTTTTCTACCTGTGAAGCAATATGGTCTAATGCAGTGATGGTGAACCTTTTAGAGATTGAGTGCCCAAACTGCAACCCAAAACCCACTTATGCATCGTCGAGTGCCGGGTGGGTGTGGCCCATTGGGTGGGTGTGGCCCATTGGGTGGGCGTGGCTGCGATGGTAACGGCAGACTGGGTGGGACTAAAAAGTTCAATCAATCAATTCCAACTTTGTAAGATTTTTTTTTTCCCCGGGAGAAATTGAAATTGACTGATTGAACCTTTTTTTTTTTTTTGCACATGGTGGAGGCCTAAAGCGAAACGGTTTTATAAAACCCAGCTGAAGGCCTAGGACTGGGGCTACGACGTGCGTGCCCACAGAGAGGGCTCTGAGTGCCGCCTCTGGCACCCGTGCCATAGGTTCGCCACCACTGGTCTAATGTGATTCTCCCGTGGTGGAGGACCTGGTTTTAATTGCATGAAGTTCTGATGATCATCTTCCATTGTATGAAAGAAGATGAAAGATGATCCCTGTGCATTGAAGACTGTTGTAGGGGTGAGAGCGAAGAGTAGTGTAGCGACATTTGGAAACGCAGT